CACAGCTGCCCTGGGGCACACTGACTGAGGTGAGGCCTGCTGAGCACAGGCGCCACCGGCCCCTCTGACACCCCCAGCAGGCAAGGAGGTTAAGCCTCTTGCCCAAGGACACAACAGCAGCATTCTCTGCTGGGAGCTGGGATCGAACCTGCAACCATGCGATTACTGGACAACTCGCTCTACACTGAAAAAAGTATATTTAAAAATAGTCAATGTAATGTAATATTTTATTTTATTTGTGTGTTACCAGTTGACATGGTTTCTTCAAGTTCTTTCAGAGAGTGTTTTCTTAATATATATTGAGTTGATTTTATGTGAATTTTTAAGTTGCACCAAAGTAGTTGAGATAAAAATTTTAAGTTTATTGAAATTATCTTAACTCCTTTGGTCCAACTTAAAAATGACAAGTTAAATGAAATTACCTAACTACCTTGGTCCATCTTAAAAATTTTAAGTTTATTGAAATTAAGTTGGACCAAGGTAGTTAGGTAATTTCAATTAACATAAAATTTTAAAGAAATCTAAATGAAAATCTAACATTAATCAAACTTTATATTTCACTTCCAACAAACTTGATTCAGTTGTGTGTTACCAGTTGACATGGCTTTTTCAAGTTCTTTCACAGAAATACATTTTTCAGTGTACGTCCTGAGCTGATTCCCAAAGTCCCAGGAAGTCTTCGCTGGAATAATCTTGAATGATGAAAATTAGAACACCGTTTCTTGTTTTTGTCGTTTGAGTAAAGTATTTAATCATCCCAAAATACTTTAGGCACACAGAGCACCTTTTATTTCCTTTCAGGTGATTATAAAGCTGTCAGATGTTGTCAGCAGCTGACAGCAGAGACCACCAGAGGCTTATCTGGTTCACAGGTCTGCAGAACACATCCAGACCAAAACTGAACCTCAGTAATACAAAACGAAGCGTCCCAGTGATCCACCGTCAGCGGGACTGGAAATAGAAGGTCCACAGAGAAAGATCACTCGTCAAAGAACATTTTCTGCAGCATCAGAGCTCCAAAGCAGCACAATTACAGAACAACAAGAGCGTTTGATAATGCAGGTGATTGTGTTGGGTGGCTAAAAGTGGCCACGGGACAGCAAGTGAAACAGATCCTGCTGTCAGGAGAGCTGCTTAGTCAGAATCTATTTTCTTTCCCAGCGTTGATGGGAAAGATGAGATGAAACACGCCAGAATTAGAACAAGCTGGGAGTGAAAGGACACCATAAATATTGTATGGATGATTATATCAAGCTGCTGGAGACCAAACAAACATGCCGGATACAAACAAAAAGCACAACACTTCCTGTTTTATTTGATCCGATTTAACCTAGGTGTTGGTGGAAAGTTAAGTAAAAAATTCAGACTGAAAATTCTTCAAGCTATTTATAAACATTCAACAATAAACATTTTTGCAGGATGTTAGTTTCAAGCAAAAACAATCTTTAGCTGAGAAATGATGGAATCATCCTCGGTTACTACAACACCAAATCCTAACTCATGATCAGCAAATCTAATAAATGAGGACAACTTTAGTTGTTATTAATGTTGGAAAGAGGCATCAGACATCTTCAATTCTGATCATCTCAAAAGTTAATAAGTAAAAGTTCATCTGATCATTATTGAGATGTTCGCTACCAAACACAGGAACCACACTGTAGCTCGCGTTGATCGATGGATAACAAAATAGGTGTGAATTAGGCTTATTCTGCCCTTTTTGTTGACTCCTTTTATCCTTTTTTGCAACATAAATCTTTATACTTAACTAGCTTCACTTCCTCTATTGAAGGAACTTTCCTTTACTAATCTTGAGCCAACACACCAATATCTTCTATCATTATTTTCCTCTTTTCATTCATTTTTCCATTACTTTTAAAAGTAGAGAGGAGCCAGTGGAGGTGGCTCGGGCATCTGGTCAGGATGCCTCCTGGACGCCTCCTTGGTGAGGTTTTCCAGGCACGTCCAACCAGGAGGAGGCCTAAAGGTAGACCCAGGACACTGGAGGGATTATGTCTTTCACCTGGCCAGGGAACGCCTTGGAATTTCCCCGGAGGAGCTGGCCCAAGTGGCTGGGGAGAGGGAAGTCTGGGCCTCTCGACTTAAGCTACTGCCCCCGCGACCCGACTCCAGGTAAGCGGATGAAAATGGATGAATGGATGGACTTTAAAAGGTACATAATGTCAGAATAAAGTAAGTTTTCTACAGTGAAATAGTCCCAAAACAGCCTAAAGTCTCAATCATGTTGGAAGGAAAGTTGTACCGAAACATGTTTCATTCAGTCGGCTGCAGGGGTTGTTAGATTTTCTCCTTTTAACATAAAGAAAGAAGGGATGTAGCCATTTACCATCAGTAGGGGTTGCAGTGTCTCATGCAAGCGAACGCTGCAGAGCCAAAGGACTAAACAAGTCTTTCAGTTTTACTCTGATATTGGATGAAGAAGGCTGGAGGCTAAGGCTGAGCTAACAATGCTAATGGTGAATTTGAAGAAAATTGAAAGGTCTAAACATTTCTCAAGCTGCTTATTCAATCACCAGCAACTGAATATTACGATGAAATAAGTTTGTGAAGTGAATAATGAGTCAAACGTGACGTTTTACTTCCTTAAATGACTTGTTCAGAGCAATAACAGCAAGTCAACAACAATACTTACTCCATGCCGAAGTCGTAATGTGTAGTGAATGCTCCCTAAAACACCAGAGTGCTAGCACCAGCTATGACAACGTATGAGCGTATTGTGTGTACCTCGTCTTTGCTCATCATCTAGAATCTTCTGATGCTGATCTATAACTGGCAACAGGCATGATTGCAGTAAACACATTTGACCACAGGATGTCATCTTACTCTATTCCATTTTACGCTTGATGCAGTTGTGTTGGCCGGGTTGTTGAAAATAAAATGTAAAAATGAGAGCAAACGGTTCCCTGTGGTCTCGTCACAAACTCTCAAACCACCTCTGGTCTTAAAGCATCAGGATTGGTACCTTTGTCCAGTCTTTTATGTGTCTACTGCCCCCTGGTGGAAAATCTACACATAGTAAGGGCCAATTTTATTTCTTCATTGCGGTTATATTGCTAAATTGTATGATAACACAGACAGGTGTTGACATAATAGTTATGGCAGACAGCTTATAGCTGAGCCTTTAAGTTTAATTTTCTTAAATTATGATTTAGTAAATAATCTACATGATCTCAACTTCTAAAGAATACGCTGAAACAGCAGAACATTCTTTTAGAAAACATATTTGCCTGCTCTGAGCTGCAGTCACTACCAATACAGATGTTTGTTTTTTTAAGCTTAGAAATAAAATATTTGTCCTCTCGTGTGTGAAATTGGATACAATAATCTGTGTCACTGGTGAGGAAACCAAATCTGTCGGTCTGGATTACAGGGAGCGCTAAACACCACAACAGTGTTCCATCACCATCAGGTCAGCTCTCAGCTCATTTCTCACTTTTCCCAAACATCCCAATCAGCTAACCAGCTCCGCTTTGATGCAGATCAACTCCAAATAACTGGAAAAGTCAACATTTGTGAGCTATGTTACTTTTGCCATAAAGTTTTCAGGCATCAAGTGTTGTTGACAGAGAGGGATGATGATGAGATGAGCTCCAAAAACCAGAGCCTGCTCCTCTGTGGATGTGTTCCCATTGGTTTAGACTGTCATCCTGCCCCCCACTCTTCCTCATCTCTTCCTCCTCTCTGTCCTCCCACCTTCTCCAGCTTCGCTCACGCAGCCTTTCATCCTCACTCCTGCTCACCCGGTTGACTGCTGTGCATCCACACACACAGCAGCAGCAGCATTTAAAGTTGGTTAGGCTTGGTAGAACAGCAACGGTGACATTATTTTGCTATGAAATGCAACAAGTGACGGTCGAGATTTTGAGCAACATGTTTGGGAATAAGACATTTTATCCAAAATTGGATTTACTGCCTCAAAAGTTTCGACAACACAACTCCTAAATGCTCTTCCCTTTAAACAGGTTGGCGTCTCCAGAGCGCGTGACGCACCGATGCAACATAAAGGTTTCTCTCAACATCCGAATTCTTCTGCACGATTTATTTTGTTTAACACCATGGCAGGTTACCAACCATCCAACTTGGGCCGAACTTAGACTTCAACAACTATTTTTCTTTACCTTTCCTCCTTTGGAACATCTCCTGTACGCGTTTGTGGCTCCCGCAGTTTGATTCATGCTGCCAACTTCTGCAACAATAAAAAAAATGCAGCTTTGAAAAAAAAAAGTTTATTTCGAGTGGAAATAAGCTGTGAAATATGAGGGTTACCCGGTGCGCGGCGCTCGGTCCGTCTCCGCTCGTTTGGTGCACAAAAACGCACACAGACCAAATTTCTATTAAATCCTCCAAATTAAGTCCTGAGAGTAAAATCCGCTGCAAAGTTTCTTCTTAAGAATTATTTAATCTGCATCCAAACGCATAAAACAAAACCTGGCACCAACTTCATCCAGATTCTGCACTTTGAGGATGATGAGAGGCACTAAGCTGCAGCTTGCCGGAGCCGCGGCTGTGTTTAGTGCAGAAATGCGCAAGCGCATCTTCTCTGACAGCTCCGCGGGGTGGGGGTGGGGTGGGGTCTGTCAACATTATGCGCTCGCCCACTCCAGGGCTGAAAGCAGCAGGGGGATCTGGCGGCGCGCGCTGTAATTATACATCATAAAGAGCAGCAGATAATAGCTCAGCTCTGTTTATTAACAGCAACAAAACAGTGATCATGTTCCCACTCAAAGCCTTCTGCTAAATGCAATATTTTATTATTTTTCTGCAAAATGCTGTTTTATCCTCTTGAAAGAGCCATCAGAGATGATGGTCATCTGCAGCATTAGTATCTCACCATGAGGAAATGCGTTAGTTCAGCTTCAATTATAGAATATTATACATGGATGCTGCAGCAGTGGCAAGTTTTCATTCTAGTGTGGCAATTAGCTGGACAGGTCAGTGTTGAGATGTTGTGACTTTCTAACAGTTTTTAAAGCGTGGAGAGAAATAAAATAAACCATTTACACCAATCCAGATATTCAGAGGGTCACGTTTTAGTCAATTCTCAGCTCCATCACACCCTGGAGATGAACTTAAAGCTTTCTTTCTCGCAGGATCCACGTAATTGAGTTGTATCCTTCAAATCTAAAGAGAGGATGACTTCTGTTGCTGGTTTAAATAGATGATTAGTGCATTAAAAAACATTTAGATCAAACTTTTACCTCAATAGGGCAGTGGTACTCAATCCAGGTCCTGGAGGCATCCAGCATGCTTTAGTTTTAACCCCATTTCAACACATGATTCAAATCAGCAGGTAAACAGCAGGCTTCTGCAGAGCCTGATGTGCTGCTGCACAGGTTTGAATCAAGTGTTGCAGAGAAACAACTAAAACGTGCTGGACACCTGTCATGACCCGAGGTAAGTGTCTAACCCAAGAATCACTCGACGAACTGGTTGAGTTAAAGAAAGGTACTTTATTTGGAAAACAGGAACAGAAGTAGCACTGGGAGGTCCAGTACCAGTCCACCGGGGAGTGAGCTGTACAGCTCTGGTCCATGTAGCGTTCGTGGTGAACGAGGGCGGCGGGAAAGCCGAGGTGAGCGGCCGGGCAGAGGATGAGCGATCCGGGATGGGTGAGGTAGCAGAGAGGGTCCAGACAGGAACAACGGAGGAGGATGGGACGTGGTGCAGGTAATCCGGAGTTCAAATGGCGAGGGTGAGGCAGGGTGTGTGGAGATCCTGAGAGAAGACAAACAACACCAGACGTGAGGGTAATCCAAAAGCGTAATCAGAAATCAGTCCAAGTTCAAAATCCAAATATTCCAAAACGAGTCAAAGTGAACAAACAAGTACGAGTGGCTGGGGCTACCAAAACTGGAGCAATCATCCGGCGTAGTGAGGTGTCTCCATCCTCCTTTTATACCCGAGTTCCTGATTGGGAATCTGGTGCAGCTGCAGCCCCCTCCGCTCCTCACCTGTGGGAAATCAGCTCAGAGACGGTTAGATTGGAAAAGGAGCACTCACCTCGGCTCGGGAACATGACAACACCGGCCCTGCAGGACCAGGATTGAATAGAGTTTACCGTCTACCGGACTATGTGGCTGTTTAAAATGTTAAATGCTGAACAGAAGTTGTCATTTGCATCTTTGTGTGGGCGTCGGACGAGCCCCCACACCGTGAGAACAAACACCTCAGCTCTAAAGCCGATCTTCATCTGCATACGTCACACGTCATATGATCAGGAAGTAGAACATCCATGTGTTAGGAGATCGTTTTGGGCCGCTGCTGTAAAAAAAGTGAGGCGCAAACCGGAAAAGCTTCTGTCGATCACAATTTGACAACGGATTATGAAAGAACAGATAACGCTCGAAACGTGCGGATTCTTCCTGATGTAAGAGGTGAGTCTCCGCTTTGTTTTAGTTGTTTTGGTGTTGACATCATCCTAGCGCGCAACGTTCTGTCACTCTTAAAAAATGAACATGCATCTTTTACTTATTATCAAATTTACATCATCGGGGTCCTCAGTAGCATGTGGAAGATCAATATGCAGTAGGGCTGGGCGATATGGCCTAAAACCAATATCACGATATATTGAGTATTTCACCTCGATAACGATAAATGGAGATAGCTACAGGTTTGCGCAGAAACAAGTGTTGTCCACTAGATGGGGCTGTCACATGTATCACGTTTTGTCACATTTTTACCCAAATGTTTTACTCCATTGTTCATTCCACAAGCTGTATCTCATTTTAAAGTTGACACCTGTGGACTCACCAACAGAAGGTAGCAGATATAGGACCGGATGTGGCAGGTTTATGATGAAGGTACTAATCCTGATGCTCCATCTGAAAGCTTTAGGGCCTTAAGTTGAAAACAGGCTGAGTATGAAAAAGCAGAAGGATTAGAACAAAACAATACAATAACCCCGGTTTCACACTGCAAGCATCAGCGGAGCGGCTCACTCGCGAACTTCAAAGCAATTCTTTTCACACCGGGAGAGTCTTGGCCGCGGCACGGCTTCCTCGCTGTGCCTCGCTGTACTCACAAGATTCTAAAATCCCTCGAGACTTCCGACACCTTCCTCGCTGTAGCCCTCCACTGCCAGGATTAAAGCCTCGTTGTACATGCTGAGAATCACACCGTTGCACTTCTCGAAAGAAACTGCTGACGTAAGTTATATACAACATCGCAATGTAGCATTTTATTTTGAAAATAACCGGGGACTTCACACTGAAACCGTGTGTGGTTTCCTTTCTCGCACTATGTTAACTGTGGAAATTGACGTGTTCCAGAAGCGGCTCGCGGAAAAAATAGAACTCGATCCTATCTTTAGCGGCATGGAGCTGCATGCCACTTCTGGGACGCGCCTGAAAATTGCCGCGTCGCGGCTGGTTTGAAACACTCCACAGACTATAATTGGATTGTGTTTGAAGCGGTGCCGCTTCGCTGCCGTTCAGTTCTACTGATGCTTGCAGTGTGAAACCGGAGTAAAAAGGTATTTCCTGGTTAAAGTCAATACAGGTAAAAACACGCAAAAGCTAAAACTAGCTGCTAATTTAAAGGGACTTTACGGAGTTTTGAATTTTTATGCTCGCGATTGCCCCCTCAGGCCAAAAGTGTAACGGCAGCTTCAATTGTAGGCTCGTGCACGAGGCGCACATGCTGTACGTGCACACTCCTTAACGAAAATAACAGCTGAGACAGTCCCTTGTGTGTGTGTGTGTGTGTGTGTGTGTGTGTGTGTGTGTGTGTGTGTGTGGCCCGGAGGACAGAGGACAGGAGAACATGCAGCTAATTAATTAAATTATTTGGTTCTGTACCTTTCTCTTCAGCACAGCCGACAAAGGTTTATGATGGGTCAGTCCTCCTGCATGCTCAGATCATTCCCTTCCCTTGCTTGAAAAATTGTTCCAAAATGAAAGTTGAACCCACATCTTTTTTATCTGTGAATCCAATGCCGTTCGGCGAGTCTCAAACAAAAATTTGGCATCTTAATGTAAAAAAAATATACCATTAATGTAAAAAAGAAACTCTAAATAAACCATGTTCACATCCAGAATCAAACCCAGGTCTTCTGCACGAGAGTCCGACGTTTTACTAGGTGAGTTAAAGCTCCAGTGATGTCCTTTGTATCTGTAACATTTATATCCTTGATGACAGTTGAAACAACGTTCAAAGAACGGTTCGGAGCGAAAATGGCTATTTTGTTGCTAATTTGCAGGAAATATCTAGAAGAAAGTTCTACAGAAAGTAGATAAGGGTCTTCAGAAATGTAGCTAGCTTTGTCACTAGGCGTTAGGAACTAGGGCCTGCACGACTTTATTTTTTTTAAAGTCGACAGTCAAGTAATGAAAGTCGAGTCGACTTCGACTAGTCGTTGATGACGTCATACGCCGGAAGCGGGGGTGGGGGGGGGGGGGGGGTCGGTAGGTTCGCTGGAGTTTTTGACAATTAAAATTGCGCCCACATTTTCTAAGTTAACACATCTCTTTTAATAACGGTAGTTTCTGCATCCTACTTCAGGCCTCTCCCCCCTCCCCCCTGCAAAGCAGCCGCAAACTCACTGATGCGCCTGCAGCCTTTCCTGCTGCTCTAAACATTAAAATAATTATTTCATTTTCTGTTCCTCACTTCTGATTACCTTCAGTGGTGTCTGTTTGTTGCATCCACCAGGTACAAAAACGAACTTGTTTTTATTTGACTATTTTTCTGTCCTGTCTGTTTATTATCTTCCTGCATCTCCTCTCAATCCTAAAGAAAAACTGCTACCTGCGTTCATATATATTCACCTTATGAGTTACCTTTGAACTGCAGTTCTAAAAGATCTACCGACCGCAAAAACAGCGGAGTGCCGCTGCTCGCCGGCTGACTACAACGGGACCGTTTTTGCTGCGGAGTTCATGCCGGAGCGGAGCGGAGTGGAGATAGTGGAATCTTGGGGGTGCGTCACCGGAGAACAAAACAGGTGAAGAGGTTCGCTCCGCAGCAGCGAAACGCATCAGGCACAAATAACAGACAGAAAACATGAAAGGAAATGAGCCGACATGAACGATCGCGTGTTTAATTTGTTTTTGAGGTGGTGACACCTGATTTGGCGGTGCGCAGGACGCAATGTCTGGAGCGCACGTCAATGATCAGAGCTTTGCATGCACAAACTGGTTAAGATTAGGATGGGGGTGAGGGGAAGGTTAAATTGCAAGAGCGAAAAGGTCACAGTTTGGTTAAATGTCCGTTTTACCGCCGGTGTCAGTACCGCGCAGCGCGTCGCCTCCGCCTCGATCCAGACACGCAGGGGCTCATCACCTGCTGTCTTTTCCGAGGACTGCATCTTGTCAGTCATTATCACGTGACAGCGACTAGTTGATGACAGGCATAAAAAGTCACTACAGAGCCGTGAAGTCGACTAGTCGACTAGTTCGTACAACCCCTATTAGGAACAGCGACAAAGTGGCACTGCCTCTCTCTCTGCTGCTAAAGCTACGGATAGCAAATGCTACGGGCGATGCCTGAGCGTGAACGCGCATGAAGCAGCCTGCTCGACCCGAGCATCTCTCTTTTTCTGTGATTTTACAGAAAAACAGGCAATCACAGTAAAAATGCCAGGGCTCATTCTACAGGACCAGGGCATTGCAGGAGAATGTATGAAGAAGACATTTATTATTTCTATACATGTTTTGGCTGTCAAACTTCCATAATGCCCCTTTAACAAAACCTTGGGTAACAGCTCTCCACTTTTTTTGTTTATCCTCCAGAATTTTTCACTGGAGGTAAAATGCATAAGAACAAAAATCTAAAATGCCAATTAAATGTGAGGGAACAGATTCCAGTCCGAGCCCATCTCGAAGCCACGCTGAGCAGCTCCACTTCTGTTGCACTTAAACGTGTTTTCACACTCCATTTGGCACAAGTGCTGACTTACAGAAGTTTGCCTGCTTGGTATTCTTAAGCGCCACTGTGAAGAGGATCCTCCATGACAACCTTATTGATTGCAAAGCAAGATTTCTTGTGTGCAGATTTTCATGTGAAATTAGTCGGTGTTGCTCGAGGCTGTTTAATGAAGGGCCAACACGTTCAGTCGCTGGTGTGGCTTGGAGTGCGTCCTTCCATCAGGAGGTCTTTGAAGACTTCAAATAGATACATTTCCTACATCATGTTTGCATTTTATCATCACTGTTTGATACAGTTTGAAATTTCAGTTGCAGTGGGTTTTGGTTCCTTTTTTAAACAAGAGATCGGTTTGTTCCAAGTGAAAGAAAATTAGCTCACATATGTGAAAACATAATATTGGTCAGCAATTATGACATTTGTATGTTGTTTATTATAAAAACAAAACAAACGTCAACCTTTTTTTTTCCTTATAACATTTTAGTACATTTACATTTTTCTTTCAGATCTGAAGTTGAACTCACCCAGGCCATCTTCTCTGGTTTGGAATCAGAGATTATGAATTGTAATCTATTGTAATCTGATGCAAACTTTGATGAGTTGCTCTTTTTTATACTGCGTTCTAAGGTGCTGGACTTTCTTCTTAATTTTTGGTAGGACATTCAAAAGTCCGGACATAATACTTAGAATACATTCTTAAAAACTCCCTTTGATGAAAACTGTTGGTATAAAAAAAACTCTTCTGCTGCCATTCCTACAACTGTAGTTTCCTGGTATCATGATGTCAACAAAATGTTAGATTTAAACCTCACTTGATAGTTTTGTGAAGCAGGTAGATGTCCTAGGGGGCTCTGTTTACCTGCTTTACAGCTGTTAACTCTTATGCTAGCTGTTAGCTTTTTCAGTTTGCCGGTAAAAAGCACAAGAAGACGAAAAATAAGTTTGCATTTCTGTTGGCATCATGGCGGAGCCTGGAAGTAAAAATAAGACAGTAATGTCTTTAGAGGAGAAGCAAAGAGATAAAACCAGAGTGAACATCGGTGCAGCCTACACTAGACTGAGGGAGCTAAAGAAGGCTGCAAAATTACAGACTGATTGTGGCCTGGCTTTGTTGCTGCTGGACTTGAAGAAGAAGAAAAAGAAGAAAAAGAAAAGATGGAGATCTTTTCTATAGCGCCTTTCAAGATAAAAATCTCGAGGTGCTTCACAAAAACATAAAAATTAAAATATAAAAACAGAATTGAAAATATATTTTAGAGAAAAAATGTGTCAATTGTGATTAAAAAATGTTAAGAAAGAGAGAGAGTGAACAGGAAAGAGGGAAATCAGTGGATCCTGAGGAAGGTGGAATAGGTGGCAGCCAGTGAAGCTGGAGGAGAAGCGGGGTGATGTGGGTGTGTTTGGAGGACTTGGTCAGAAGCCGAGCACAGGCGTTCTGAACCACCTGTAGACGGTTCAGGGAGGTTCTGCTCAGTAAGTTACTCAGCTTGTAAGTAATAACATTTTTGTGCAACAGTGTGGAGCTTTTTACTTAATGGTGTATTTTATATTAGTTGTCTCATGTTAATGTTAGCTTGTTGTAAGCAGGCTGCTGCTGGGTTGCTTATGACAGTTGTAATTCCACTATCGACCAGTAGGGCAGAGCAGCAGGAAACTGCTCTGCGTAAGTGAACATCCATTTCATGCATCATTTGAGGCTTTATGCTGATTACATTAGAGTTTTAAACCTTTGAGTTATTTGTTGTTTAAATCTCTTGTTTCACGATTGCGTAGCCACACTAATCCAAACAAAAGTTACAACATTTTTGATTTTAATTATTAATGAAATTCTGCTAAATTAAGCAGCATCACAGGATTCCCTCAATACTGACATCTGACTTTCCCGTCACCTTATTCTTATTTTACTCATTTGCTGGTTTGTTTTTTGCTTACTTTGGTGATTATTGCAACAACAAGCGGGACAAACGTCTTCTAAACTGCTTTAATAAAAGTT